CCCCCCCCCCCCTGCCCCCTCCTGCCAGGAGCTGCAGAGCGATCAGGTCTCCCCTCAGCCTCCTCTTCTCCAGGCTGAATACCCCCAGCTCCATCAGCCACTCCTCATAATCTGCTGCTGGGAATGATTCTGCATGGGAGATTTAACCTGTGGATCGGATAACATAATGCAGGTGGCTGCCCACGGGCTGGATTCTTCCAAGCGGTTCCCAAAGGAACTACAGCCTGACCCCCTGCAACCCTTCCGGCCAATGCAGAGCGCCAGGCAGCTGGTCTTGAGCTCGCCACCGAGGAAGAGGAGGTGGGAAGGAAGCGGCCGGTCATTTGGTGGAGCATGCAGCTCACCTAACTGCAACGTGACACAGCTCATGGTACAGCAAACAGAAATCGGGGTTTGCTGCAGCCGTGTCAGTGACATCCCAGCTGGTCTCCAGCAGAGATCTACAGCAGCAAATCCTTAAGCAAGTCTAAGAGTGGAACTACCCTGCCAAAAACCACCTTTACTGAGCCTGACGTATTCATTTAGGCAAAGAAGGAGTCAAGCAAAGACAAGATCTTACGGAAACTCAGACAGATATAAATAACTGATGTTACGACCTCCAGCTCCTCAGAGCTTAGGAAGAATTCACAACAACCGACCGCACGGGCACCTGTGAAGTTATAATGTAAGGCTGACTCAGACTTGAAACCGATGGGACAGCGACAGCTCACCGCTGCCGGCAAATGTAATTGCTTCTCTGAACCCCCCGGGTAAACTGTATTGTTCTGATCACCTCCCTTCACGTCAGTAACCTTTTTGTTGAAGCATCACACAACAAATCATTTCGATTCGCATCGCACATGTGCTCCAGCTAATCCTCGTGTTCTCTCTCTTCTCAGACTCTTCCATGAGGGAGATGACAACAGCACCTATTAAAAGTACACGCACAAGCTGTGCACCGGGAAATCTGACGTTAGGAAACACACCAACAAACACAACTCTGCTTTTAGAGCAGGCAAGGATCCCATATGTAACAGCTGAATCTCCTACCTACACCGGTTGCTGTGCCCCGTTTCTTGTCCCACTTAGCAAGTTCCCCCCCAAGATTTCCTCCTCTCTGCAATGAAGGCCAGAATTATTCTTCTCCCAAGTAGTTAGCGATAGGATGAGAGGAAATGGCCTCAAGCTGTGCCAGGGGAGGTTTAGATTGGATATTGGGAAAAAATTCTTCACAGAAAGGGTTGTCAAGCACTGGAACAGGCTGCCCAGAGAGGTGGTGGAGTCCCCATCCCTGGAGAGGTTCAAAACACGGACAGATATGGCACTTTGGGCCATGGTTTAGTGGGCATGGGGGTGTTGGGGTGATGGTTGGGCTGATGATTGTAGAGATCCTTTCTAACCTCAGTGATTCCTAGTTTTTACTTTCATTAAAAAATAATTCAACCCCCAAGTCAGGAAACACGAAATTGCTACTCTACCCTTAATGGGTTTAGTGGTGGCCTTGGCAGTGTTAGGTTAATGGTTGGACTGGATGATCTTAAAGGGCTTTTCCAACCTAAACGATTCCATGATTCTATGATTCTATGATTCTATGATTCTATGATTCTATTCAGTGCTCACAGAGGCTGGTTTGCTCAGCAGTGGGAATCTGCTCTGCAGGGGAATCGCAGGTTGAGTATCTGACAGAGTTAAAGCTCCAAGTGGAAACACTTCGTTTGCTCAGTCCATTTTATTTAACTTAGGTCTGAGCTCTCAGGCCGTTGATCTCCTTTTAAAAGGTAAAAAACTGAGTAGCAAAATAAAATAAAAATGTTTAGCAAGCACCGAAACTCAACCCACATTGAACAGTTAATACACCATTGTTGCAACACCCGGTTCTTCAACACCTGAAAGTCTTTATAAGCAGCAGCACTGCTGGGATTTCCAGAGGAGGGAGGACCAACGCAAGCCCTCGTCCCTTCGGCCCTGGAAGGTCACCTGGACTTCACAACCAAGAGATGCAGTTGAAAGCCAGAGCTCAGATTGATTTGCTGACACTGGGAACGACCCCACCAATTTGTTCCCCCGTTTCCTTGTTTCAGGGTACACATAATCCTTGCCTGACTCACCACGGGAAGGAAATCCGTGAGAATGCACTCAGTGTTTGTGGCTCCTCAGACACCTCAAACTGATGGCTTGGCCCAGAGGCTAGAAGAGGCGTACAGGTGTCCTTCTGAATCTGCAGGTGCTTCAGCCCAAAGCACTTCATCACAACGTAACCACAGGACGAGAAGGCAAAGTCACCTCAGGACCTCCTGTGCCAAATAGCCAGTGCATCCTGCAGGCGTACAGACAGCCTGCAGGGACACAGGCGCCACGGGACTTTCCTCCCCAGAGCACTAATGAAACTACATCTACCAGTCTGGGCCTGTCTGGGGAATGCTGATCTCCAGAAAACATATTTAAGCCCAAAGCAAGCAAGCAGCCGTTCAGCTCTCTGCCTTCTCCGGGGCAGAACCTGGTGGGGCCCTTGCAGTGAGCCTCGTAGCCAGGTTTTTGCCCTGTATCGCATCCCTTCTCCAGCGAGAAGCGCTCCCCATCCCCTGCCTGCAGGAGCACCAATCCCGGCTGTCTCCATCAAGATCTGGAAACATTTGCTCACATGCAATTCCCGTTCCCCATTCTCATTCCTTTCCACCCAACAGAAACTACCCGGACCTGTAATTATTCACCTACGCCAAGAGACTTACCAGCTTCTGTGCTACGATGTTATAGTGACTGAAGGACTGGAGTAGGGCCACAAAGCAAACCTTACAGCCAGCTGGGTGAGAAGACAAAAAGACACGTTATCATTTCAATTTTGCAAGCTGCCATTATCAAAGCACATAAATCATAGCAGCCAGGCTACAAATCTGTCTGGAAGGTCCTCGAAGTGAGACAGGTCTAGGCAGCCCTTCACTTGCTCGTGGCTTTCAATTTTCACCTTTCTGTAGGATTTCCACATTAGGGAAAATGTTAGTCAGTTTAAAAAGTAAGTGAAAGAACAAGAAGAAGATGACATCAAAAAGTAGAAGGCCCCTTTTCTGTCTCGTGCCATCCTGCCCTAGGACCTCCTGGCACTGTTTGCGGGTACTACTGCTAGGAGGCCAACGGCCGACCGTGACACGAACTACTGAAACCACCAACATGCCAAAGAAACCCATTTTGGCTCTCGTAGGGCAAGTGACCTTGACTGGAAAAACACACAGAACGCGCAATTTTGACAAAGACACCCCACTAAAATGTGATTTTGGAAAACCCAGCATGTGACAACCTGGCCTCATGGTTTGGGTATGAAGAAAATCAGCGCATTTGTTTCTCCCTGCCAGAAAGCAGGACTTGGATTTCAAGCGGAACACGTCAGTGGCCCCAGCTGAGCCTTCGCTGATGCCTCAGGAGCTCGCAAAGGTTTTGAGCACCAAGTGGGTAGTTGGACAACATGGAGGTGCTACAGACGCAGACACAGTAACTGGCACCCAGGTTCCACGATTGAAATGAGAGGCTGACAGCAAGCACACCTGCCTTGAGATGCATTAATAATCCCAAAGGGCTTCCTAGCCTCAAGGGACGGCGAGACTTTTCCCAGGCAAACGCGCAGCGACTCCCAGGACGGTGCTGCAGGTCAGCACGTTAGCAGAGTCGTGCGGGGGCTCGGGCAGACCCTGAGGCAGAGCCTCGGCAGGGCTGTCCCTTTGAACCGTTCACACTGTTAATAACCTGCTCTCCAGGGCTTTCCTGCAGTTTGACTCTGTTCGATTAACCAAAACAAATTTTTAAAAATGAAGTAAAGCCATCGCTGAGGAAGTGGCAGTTATGGGGGGGCAGGGTGCACTCAGCCCCGCCACCTGCACCGCACTCTGAGCTAAGTTTCAAGTCTGAGAGGTACCATATTCGCCGAGCTGGCTGCTTTGCCAGCAGAAAGCTGGCGGAGCCCATGAGTCCAACACCCGCTCTGCAGGGGCCGGTAGGTTACTCACAGGTGAAACTGTTAGCAGAAAAGCAATTAGGCAACTTGCCAGGCTCTTTGTTTGTTTCTTTGCTCACTACCAGCTTATCTATTTGTTAGTTGTTCCTGATATTTTTAATTACATTATAAACCACCTAGCTAGTGAAGGAATTACCGTCAACACCTCACTATCAGATGCCCATGCAGTTTACAACGTTCACTGCGCTAACGATCGAAGAAGGTACACAGACTTTATGGGAGGTACCCAAGGATATAAAGCAAGTCCCAAGAACAAGTCAGGACTGGGATCCATAAATCCTGACCCCAAAGCTTTGCGCTAATCTGAGGAAGCCTCACGCTCTGCAAAACCAGCCTCTGCTCATGTAGAAACACTTTACGCTGAAGGAACCTCCAAGGAGCAGGCAAAGGCAAGCCCTTGCCTTGGAGAGTCCTGCTGCTGACATACCTCTGAGGTAGAAGGAGAGGAAATGGTGCACCAGGAAGCTGCCATCTGTTCTGGTGTCTCGCAGGAGCGTGAATTTACCCTGAAAAAGAAGCAGCAAAATAAATTAACAGAGGAAGATGAGGGCACAAACTGCTCCCGGTTCCATCTTGGTAGACAACATGTCTGCTCAGGCTAGGGGAAACTCTGCAGGTAGAAGTCAGAGAAAGAAGTGGACGAGCAGCGCTCCAGCCACCCGTCCGTTTACAAAGGGATGCCAGCGCTTCCTCCAGACACGGCCCACGGGGAGGCATCAGAAGATGTTGAGTTCACCGCTTTCTGAAAGACATGCCCACCAGCTAAAAGCCCTTGCGCTAGGCTGAGACCCCAGCTGGACCCTCACGCTCTGCACTCACCAAAAGCCATCTCCTCACATGGAAACACCCGCCTGCTGCAGAGGACGCCAACGAGCAGCTCTGCGCTTTCCAGTGCCGGCACGTCCAGAGCACGCACGTATTCGTGCCCCCAGTGCGGGACACCATGGCCGTGGGTGGCTGTGAACAATTTCCACCTGTGAACAATTTCCACCTCCCAGCTGCGTCCTCTTCTCCCCCAGTTCACAGTCATCTTCTGCCTACTCCAAGTGGCACAGACGGCACGGGGGCAACAGCCACCCACTCTCTTCCCAGTCCATTCTCCCACTGCCACGGCCAGCGCCGCCTGTGCGCTTAAAATGGCAGCCCTGCTACAGCTGCTGCTGCTCCTGTCCCCAAACAGCCCTCCCTGCCCCCTGTTCCAGGCTTACCTCAAACCTGCCACGTTCAGAGCAGAAAACCTTATCATCAAAATACATGTACTGGAGCAGAGCTCTCTGCACAAAGTATATACCTTGTTTTGATCACGCAGGAAATTAATTCTGTTCATCAGTGCACGCTTGTTATCAGTACCAGTCTCATCAAGGCATTTGTTTCCATTAAAACCTCAGTCAAGATGTTTCTTTCATCAATACAAATCATAGAAGGGCTGTTTTTAATCACAAAGAACTTATCGATGCATTTTTTTCAATCTATTAGAAGAAAAAAAACGCCCTTTGCAGCAACAAGCAATCTACCCGTCGGCAATTCACAAGCCATCTATCAGGGTTAACTCCCCCGATGCCTAAAACGTGTTCTAAAGCGGCGCTAATGGAACGGCAAATATTGAACACATCTGCAGGGAATGCAAAGCAGAAGCCAGGGCAGAGAAGCGCTGCTCTGTCTCAGCCAGAGAAAGCTCTTTCCCACCCAAAAAAATGGTTATGCCTCTGTGGGGCAGGAGGTACCACCCCGGTGAGCATCTCACTGAGATGTACCCTCCGTGGCTAAGCCTGGAGGAGTCTCTGCGTCCAAAGAGCACAAGCTCAAACGTTCAGCCATTTATCTTCTGCGCGACTCCATCCTCTTCCACCCCCCTCTTCCCCGTGATGGTCCCCTACGACAGCAGGCTGAATGCCACCTCAGGTCCCCTCCCTCGCCTGCTAGCTCTCGAAAGGCTCTCTCCTCTGCTCCTGCACACGCTGCGCAGAACACGGCAGGATGTTAGCGTTCAGAGCACACATTATTCCGCTTCTTCAAACTTGCCAGTTATCAACCCTTAAACCCTGCCAACCCTCGCTTCGCTGTCACGCTGCAGCTGCTTAGATAGCACTCAAAGCTCTTCATTTGGGACGCTTAGATGCCCAGCTAGCCAGGGGTGGAAATGTCCAAACCGTGCATCTCCAGAGGCAGCAGCTGCACCAAAGCACAGCTGGCGGGCAGAAGGAAGGCAACAGCTCCAGGAAACTCCAGCATCCTGCTTGTGGCCACCAAACTGCCCCAAAGTCTTTACCAACCCCAGAGCACGGGACACAAATACAGGAATCGGGGTTCTACCAGTCGTGTCGACGCAAAGAGGAAGGCATGCAAAGCCAGCAGGAATCTGCGAGGCTTTCCAAGCTCTGCAAACCCCTGTGATCACGCTGTCTTCAAGCAGGTCTGTGCACCTCTTGCACCCATCCCCGCAGATGGCATGCGTCAAATTGTTTAGCAGTTAGGCTGGAAGAAACCAGGTCCCTGGAGATCCTGAGGGCGGGCAGCTTCCCCTTGCTGCCAGGCAAGAGGAATTCTCCTGCTGAGGAGCAGGTAAGCCCTGGCCCCACCACCAGCACCTTGTCTGCTGGCGTGCAGAAACCCCACAGCCCCCGATTTGCCACCACAGATGCGCGGTCTGGTTCCCTTCCCCCTTCTGCGCATCCTTCTCAAGCCCAGAAAGACACCGCTGGGGATGAAGCGCTTCCAAAGGCAAGGCCTTCTCGTAGCACCTTCTCCATCCGCCTGCCCCAGACCGTTCTCTCCGCTCTCTGCTTTCACAGTCTTTCCACCTACAGGCTACGAGGCAGAAGCTGCAGCTACTTGTTAGAAACTGCCAAAATCCCTTGGCAGGGCAGCAGCGGGTGTCACAAGCATTCAGCGGTGACATGTCAGATACACCCACACCGGCGGCAGCTTCATCCACCTACCAGCCCTGCAGTGAAGGCATTTGTCAGCACTTTGAAAATGGCACAAGCCAACCATGGAGATGCAGAAACCGGGATGGCAGAGATGGGAAGAAGAGATTTGCAAAGGGCTGGTGCTTTTTAAGCACAGCAGGACACCCATTTCCAGCCAGCCTTGGCCAGATATCTCGGCACACCCCACAGACCATGACTCCCAAGGGGAAGAGCCCGGCTCCAGACTGCACCGCTCTGTGGTGACGCTGAGCGGCAGAGAGACTTGCAAAACAAGAATACTCATCGTTTACCCCCAGGTTAGTCCACATCGCAGTGTATGAACTCAATCTTCCATCTCCGGCGTCAGAGAACACCGCTCGTTCTGCGGCCAGCCACATACCGGTGCTACGCTACCGCCAAACACCGCGACGAAGAGGGATCTGGAACGGTGGGAGGTCCAAGTCCCTGGCTGATGGGAGAGGAAGAGCCGATGCAAATCTGAGGCAATTCCTCAAAGAGGAGCTTTTGGTTCAGCTCCTCTGTCGGGTCCTGCCTGTGCTGCCAAAACTCAGGATCTTCGGGCCAAATGTCCTTTTGGTTTTGCTCTGCAGCATTTCCTATTTGCATCAAGGTGAGCACCCTGTCTCCGAAACCAGCCCTTGCAGGTGACAGCATCCCTGCTCATCCCACAGCTCCACCATCAAACTCACCTTAGAGCACAGGCTCTGCTCTGCCAACAGCCAAATTCCACCAAGGGCTTCTCACTTAGCATTGCACATGCGTTAAAAACCCATTCATCAACCCACAGGAACTTGGGAATTTATGCGGCCTCAGCTTATCATAGAATCACAGAATGGTTTGGGTTGGAAGGGACCTTTCAAGGTCATCCAGTCCAACCCCCCTGCCATGGGCAGGGACATCTTCAACCAGATCAGGGTGCTCACAGCCCCGTCCAACCTGACCTGGGATGTTTC